TGTGTGTGTGTGTGTGTGTGTGTGTGTGTGTGTGTGTGTGTGTGTGTTGTAAATTTTCCTGCTGACCTTTGAGTCTGAGGTCATAAAACGTCTCAACGGAATAAAAAAATATAGATTTTTAAATTATTTAACAAATTCATATGTTAATAAGTAAAATAATCAAGTTTTTATATGAAACTGTTATTCTATTTTTACAAATATCGATTAAACAATTATAAAAATAAAATTTGCACCAACAATAATCTGTAAAAATTAAATTCTCCTTAACCGAAATAAGAATTTGCCGTTTCTGATCATTAGAAAATTTTCCTTAAATTCAGTGAATTTAAAGTTTTTTACATATAAAACTCTCATCACTTCATCATAACGACTCCTTAATAAAATGTTTATTAATGCTCTGTTGGATGAAACAAGCGCTTTACTTTAAATGAAACCTCATTTATTACAAGTTGCTCCGGTAAATGTTCGACCTGAACTTTATTTCCAAAACAAACTTTGTTCCTTCAAACATCAGGAAACTTACTGAAAGATGATCTGAATGATTAAAATCCAGTTCAGATCTAAAAATAAACCTGCTTTAGAGCAGGAAACTGGTTTTTATCATCTTTGTTAAAGCTTTATAAAATGTTTTCAGACTCTTGAAAAACCTGTTTATTAAGATTGATTTCATATAAAGTGGTTCTTACTGGTAACACGTTTATAAAATATTTGTTTCTGATTAATTTTGATATGAAATCAATCGAATTATCTAAATATCAGCGTTTAGGAACAGAGGTGTAGCAGGGCGTAGTAAAGGAGGTGAAACTCACGCAGCCCTGAGCCTGCAGGTCCTCGCTCACACGGTGCAGGTCGTTGTTCAGCTGGTGCATGCTGGGATGCTCGTTGTCATAGTGATGCAGGATGTTGTGCAGGTAGAAGTCCAGGATGTTGGCGTGGAGGCAGCAGATCTCCACGTGGCTCTGGAAGAGGTGGAGAGGTCAGACGTTTGTTTGTTTGTTTGCTTGTTTGTTTGTTTGTTTACTGTGAACTCTGTTACCTGGTTAGTGTTGACCCTGGGCATCAGTCTGGAGCTCGTGTCCTCCTCCGGCTGCTTGTTCTGAGCCTGAAGGGACGAAATTAAACGTCCGATCAGCCAGAGTCTGAAGAAACAGACGCTGTCCTCTCATGTTCACCATCAGAACCATGAGAAGTCTCATGTTCACCATCA